TGACGTATTCGAAACATTACATAGTTAGGGTTCCTTAATGTCATTTAAAAGTGACTTTATGTGAAGCGATCATGAAAAATGGTGATTTTAAAAGAAAATAAAAATTGCGCGCAAAATAAATGTAAACAAACTACGGAGGTCGGTTGCGTATACGAAGAAAGATTATGTCGAATTAAGGTGTCGAATAAAGATAAAATAATTTTATTATTTTTAAATTCTTATAACTTTTACGTACATAGGGCGCTAAAGGTAAAAGGCCGAAGGTCCAAAAGACGTCCGCAGGAGCTAGCCTAAAATCTTCCCGAAGTGGGTCTTCTAGACTAGTTCTAAATAAATATCTATTAATATCTATCTAATAAATGTCAAAACTCCGTCGCCAAACATAGTTTTCAGCTGAATTTTGATCTGAAATATTCACGACACAAGGCAATAGAGAAGTATTGGGTTAAGTTCATTGACAAGGAAGGGGATTATAATACGAAACAACAACATTGAGGGATAAGGCAACTGAATAAAAAATCACCGCATATGTTAGACACTGACAATCGTGTCAGTAGACCTAGCATAAAGATGAATACCATCAAGACGCTTGTGATTAAGAAAGAAAGATTCCACCACCTGAGTTAAGACAATCATAAATTTCATTACCTGAGTACAGACTTTGGTTTGAAACTCCAAAATTGCATAATTGAATTGTCCAAGACACACGTGGCTTGACGTAGGTTAAAACATATCTGGTCCCCTGTCAGTTATGATTTAAATCCTTGGCTTTAATAGTGCTTTAGTTCAGTGGAAGAAACGGACAAATGACACAAAAGTGAGTAAAAGTGGCAAATATGATCTTAATCCCCGCTTTATCTCTCTCTCTCTCTCTCTCTTTTCCTCTCTATTAGTATGTATGTAAATACGCTCACTTATTCACGCATATACATAGTCACATTTCCAAAGAATTAATGGGTCTATTTTTAATCGACAATCTCAGTACGTTAATCGTTATTTTTAGTGAAAACTTCTTATTTGAAATAGACGTCCCGTTTTTATTTATCTATTTATTAAACGGTGCATATTATGCCTATCGGTCGGCGAATTCAAGAAATCTAAGTAAAGAAAATGTGTCCTTCGGTAGGTATTGAACCTGTCTAGGGGATCCAGTAGTTTCCTTTTCGAGTTGGCCATCAACACAGTGACATCTGCGTGTCTTATATTGTTAAGATTACGCCCACTGATAATAACATAGTGTTGACAGCAGATTACAAAACCTCCTACAGAAGGTAGCGAAGGAGAGCGAGAAGAAGGGACTAAGCATAAATACAAGACAGAATGAATCGTCATCAGCAAAAAGATGAGCCCAAAATGCAATTTACAGGTCGGGGATTCTAAAATCAAGCAAGTACAGAAATGTAAATATCTGGGAAGTGTTCTAACAGAGGTCGGAAAGTGCGACACCGAGATCCGAAGACGTATTGGGATGGCCAAAGACGCAATCCAAAAGCTAAGCAGAGTATTATGAGACAGGAAAATTTCGTTGGAAACAAAGAAAAGAATGCTGAACTGCTACGGTATGACAGCGAATACTGGACAGTCTCCTCAAAGATGAAGAAGAGACTCGACATAACAGAGCTGTGGTTCTACAACAGCATGCTAAGGATACCATGGGCCAAACATGTGAGCAACGACGAGGTCTTGGAGAGAATGGAAACAAAGAGGAAACTTACACTTAACATCAGGAAGAGGCAGATGGAATATCTGGAAAACGTAATAAGAAAGGAGGGTTTGGAAAATCTGATACTCACAGGACGGATAGAGAGAAAGAGGGACAAGGGAATGCAACGTGTGACATATTTAATGGGTAAATGGATGGCGGAACAGAGTCTGGGAGAAATAACAAAAAGACAAAACTTATTTAGAGCTACAAAAGACATGAGGAGGTAGAGGGTCATGATCGTCTACGTCCTGAAAGGACACGGTACATAAAAGATGAAGGAGTTCCAGCTTCCTTAGGATAGCGTCGCTGTAAAGGTTGAATAAACCTGGGGAGAAGTTGCATCCGTGACCGCTTTCAGTGTCTAAACAATTGAGTTATATCTATTATCTTTGTCAAATTCATTTTTTTTTTACACAATGTCAAATTTTCATTTCATCTCATCTTTCATAAATTAACATTTTTTTTTTGTTTTTTACCCCTTGAAATTTTAATGATTACATTGGTAAAATGTTACCGCTCTAGGTATCTAAGCAGTTAAGTTATTTTATTATAAAACCTGCAGTAACTCATCTTCGAAAAGTCTTAAAAAAAAGAAAAAGAAAAGAAAAAAGCATTAAAATTAAGAAGAGTCTGCCAGTACAAAATAAATAAATAAGAACGTTAAATAATAACAGCTTAACGTAAAATCTTAGTCTTCTTTTTTTGTACTTTAATCAAGTGTCGTATATTGCAATAAATGTTGTCATGCCTCATTGGGTACCTGAAGCGACCAGCAGGAAATTCTGGATTGATTGTGTTCACTTCACCCTGATGAATGATACCTATGCAGCTGCAAACAATTGATATGAGGGAGAAGAAATTCTGAAATACGACAATTAATGAAGAGTGATGACTGACAAAACATCCGTTTGACTTCATCATAATTATCTTAAGAATAAAAATGTCTTTCCATTCTTCCTGTTTCGATTCGAGAATCCATTCATTCTACGCGAGTTGCTGTCGGACTTAAGCTTTCTGTTAGGGTGGCAACGTGATTGATTATTTCAAACTAATCAGCATTGATGATATATTTACATGTATCAATGTAAGTGCTTGTAGTTGAGTAATAGCCTGCAAGTAAGTCTTACAAGCGATTGCTTCTAAGGTTGATGTTCAACGAGTGCTCAACTACCAAGTTTCGTATATTTAAATGAGGTTTAACTAGCTAATCTTGAAGATTATTACAAGGAAAGCAGCTTTTAACCAGGTATGCTTTACTGTTCGGCTACGTGGGTCTAGAACAGCAAAGCATGACTTAATTATCCTTTCTAAAAGAGATGTATGTCTTTTTTTCTTAACCCAAGCGAGGCGATAAAGCCACTAAGACTCAATGGATTACTAAGAGTAAAAGGAACTGAGAAAACGTTATTGAAGAGAAAGGATAATAAAAGAACAGGTTTCAAAAAGACAAAAGATGACGATTGACGTTGCATTTAATTTTTTGAAGATAGTAGTCGACAGAAAATCAAGAAGCCTGAAGAGAGTTCCATTGGCGAACAGTGCGAGAGAAGAAACTATTAGAATCAAATATACAGCGATTTTAGAAGTAAAATGATAAAACCAAACTTTCAATCTTGTATTATGGTTAGATTTGTGAAGTCGAGGTACCAAAAAAAAAAAGAGCCCATCGAAACAATTACCATGAAAATATTTATAGAAAAGGCACAAAAAAACTACGTTGTGGCAGTGGGAAATTGATTGAATGCTAGGTCAAGACCGATGACATTGCAACTTTTTTTTCAAGAATCATTAGATACATATCAGAAGTACCAGACCAGACGTGACACCAATATTCGATGCACAGATGAAGTTGCAAGATAGATTCTGGCAAGCAAAATTGTCCAGCACGATACAGGGAACTAACTTTCCTAACGACAGATGTAGCAATTGATTTAATATAAATATTCCTCTTTAAAGCTGACTGGGAAGCAAGAAGCCAGAAGAGAGTTCCACAAGTGAAAAGTACGATAGTGGAATGATTAAAAAAAAGAAAGATATTTATATTTATAGCTAAATCTGACATCATTTAATTTATAATTTTTTCTCTGTAATTTTTTCACCCCAAGCAAGGTAACAAAGCCACTGATATGCAGGTGGTTACTGAGTGTGAATGAACATAGAAAAAACATTAAGGAGTGAGAACTACGAAAAAACAGATATTAGAAAGACGGAAGGTAGTGACTAACATTGCATTTAAATTTTTGAAGATCAAACTTGACTGGAAAGCAAGAAGCTGGAAGAGAGTTCCACAAGCAAGAAGTACAGAAAAGAAACTGTTAGCATAGAACTTACGGTTAAATCTAGACATTTCAACTATAAACTGATGGGACCTGGCCGCCAATCTAGTACTGCGCTTAAATTCGACCAGTCTAAGTAACATAGAAGAAAGTTCAGAACAATTACCATGAAAGTAGATAAGCACCATTACAACGATGGGAAAGTAGCCGAAGGTGAGGTTGCAGATTCTTCTTTAGATGTTATCAAGAATCTCTAAATAAATAGCAGGAGTACGCAACAGATCAGATGTTTAAATTTGGTAAATATATCTGTTAAAATGAGATGTCAGTGTTATTTTCATTTTTGCGTAATTTAGACGACAATTTATCTATCACATCCTGTATAGATAAGAACACATATACAGCTAAGTAATTGCAGATTCGAGAGCAATTATCCGTTGAATAGGAAGTGCCTGACTGAAAGTATAGTGTATAAGAAATATTGTGTATAAGGCGTCTGGATAAAGAGAGAAATTTTATGATGAGCCGAATGAGTAGCTATTTAAACAGAAATACAATGACCACAAAATTTCCTTTAATACAGAAAGGTATAGACATAATAGTACAGATTCAAATTATTTAAGGTAAAATAAAGATTGACTGGTTTCATTTCTACGGCTTATCAAACTTTGCAGGTTATTTAAAGCCAAAAAATATTCTTAAATATAGATAGAATATTTTGGGAGATAATAAAGATTTAGCGATACAAGCCTTGCTAATAAACTCATAGCTGAGCTGGAGAGTTGGATTCATACCTTTGCCAATGGTATTTGTGTGCAAGTGAATATAACAAACCCAACTGGAAATGGAACTCGGCTCTCCGATTAACAATTCCGAGCTATTACACCAGCACTTACAGCACCTGATAGTTACCAAGCGGTAACCTAGGTACTGTCCAGGCTCGATGTTGCTAACCTCGCTGATCCGGTGTTTCAACACGATATGACCATAATCCATATCGCCTACACTTCCAAGCCGAGAGCACCTGGTATTCCCAAGCGGTCACCCATCTAGGTACTGATCAGGCTCAACGTTGCTTAATCTCGCTGATTGTAGGAGAACCAAGGTTTCAACGTGATAGGGTCATAATCCATACCGCCAACACATCTATGGTTACAGCACTTGGTATTCCCATGCAGTCATCCATCTAGGTACTGACCAGGTTCCACGTTGCTTAACCTCACTGATTGCACGAGAATCGATGTTACAATGATCCATACCAGTCACACATCCAGGTACTGACCAGGCTCGACGTTGCTTAACCTCGCTGATTGTACGAGAACCTGTGTTTCAACGTGATAGAGTCCTGAACCGTACATTAAAGAAAAGAACGGCGTGTGCATCTTGGCTTAAAAGGAAGTGATGAAAAGAAAACTAGTAATAGGAATGGCAACATATTTTGTAGTCAATGTATGGAATATAAGCTGGTATTTTATATCGTGAACGATGCCAGATAAACTGTTAAATGTTAGATCAGATGTGTTGGTTAAATGTCGGCATTCTAAGAAATCCTTACTGCCGCTTTTGATGCCAGATTAACAGAAAAAGAAAGTTGGAACTCCACCAATCCCAATTTGACTTTTACTTCTTTTTGCCCTCCGCACTGTCATTTGGCTATTTAACTGTATCTATTACATATACTATTTTGTATATCCTGACATTTACAGCCCTGAAGACCCATAGATGAATGTACGCCGACTGGTAAGTCGCTACGCCAAATATTGTTTTATTACGTTCTTATAATCTTAAACACACACACACACACACACACACACACACACACACACACATATATATATATATATATATGCTATATTTATGAGAAAAAGTGCTCACTATCAAAGATAAAGCTTATGTAAATACGAAAGTGGACATTGAGGTCAACCCCAAGCGGCAACAGTCTTTTCATGCTTGAATGTAATTTTCAGGTCATGCGTTCAAGCTGACCTCAATGTCTACATTCATATATATATATATATATATATATATATATATATATATATATATATATATATATATATATATATATATATATATATACAGAGTATATATATATATATATATATATATATATACAGAGTCCACCAAAACATATATGCACTTCAGGTAAAAAACTTGTATAGATATTGTAATACTAAATTGATTCAGACATTATTTCAGAGATTCAGACATTCAGAGATTAATACAAGTTATCATTGGACTCTACAAGCACAAGAGATGCTCAAAATGGTGACCTTTAGCTTCCAGACAATTACTAGTCCGAAGAATTACTGCTTGAGCAATGTTGGCCAAAGTGCTCAGTGGGATTGCTGCACATGTATTTTCAATTTCTTGTCTAAGGGCCACTGATGTAATGACATCTGTCGAGAAAATATCGTACTACAGTAAACAGTGTTATCGTAATTTGATAAAAATACAAAAGAAAATTTTTCTTTCCCGGAGTGTGTATACATTTTTAGCGGACTCTGTATATATATATATATATATATATATATATATATATATATATATATATATGAAGAAATATAGTCTTAAGATGTGCTATATTTATCGGATAAAGTGCTCAATATCAGAGATAGAGCCTGTGTAAATATAAAAGTGATCATAGAAGTCAAAACTTAGAGGCGACAGTCTGTTTCATGCTAGATGCAATCGTCAAGCCTGACGATTGCATCTAGCATGAAACAGACTGTCGCCTCTAAGTGTTGACTTCATGTTCATTTATATATATATATATATATATATATATATATATATATATATATGGACTCTTCCGTAGTTTTCAAGTATGAGAAACCAGAATTCAGTTCTTAGAACAGAACAGCCAGACTACCCACACATATAATTTGATCATAGTGGTGAACCAACCACATTTTTCAGAAGAACAATACAGAAAACTGGTGCACATAGTCTGCCATAAGGTCTCCAAAAGACTCTCACCAGGTTTTGGAATTCAACGTTTAACTTCTTCTAGAATATTTGCCAACCAAGGATATATGACCCAAACTATTCTGCTATTTTACTCGTGGTTTGATGGAGGGGAAAAATGTATCCATCATTTTGCCAAAGGCGTGTAAGATAATGTAACGAACTCGACCTGAATTCGAACACGGTTCTTTGGTTTCTCATTTTGAGTCGTTCTCCATTTCGCCGTTGGGTTGGAAAGAATTTAGTAACATTTTTCTATAGATAGTGGTTGAACACATGATTTCGTTTCAAACGTGACTGAAATTTATGATATATACATGTTTGTTCTTATTGTGAATTTTAAATTTTTTTACGATAAGAGTGAAAATGCTGCATTGTCGTCATTTGATGCTCTTTTATTTCTGGAAGGGAAGCACACAGTACAAGCAGCAAAAAAGATAAATACCATTGATGATGATGGTGCCATAGCTGAGAAATGGCTCGTCATGTCCAAAATGGGAAAACTGAGAAAGTTTCAGCAGGTTTGCCGTCATTAAAGATGAGTAAATCGAAATTCTGATTAAAAATAATTTAGGTAACACGACACAAATATACTCCAAATATCTAATATGAGAGGTGTACCGCATTTGAACAGACCTACCTATTCTATATATCTCATAGTGCTGTAAGACATTTGAACAGATTTAGACACTCCACATATATCATAGTGTTGTAAGGTCTTTGAACAGACTTAGATACTCCACATATTTCCTATGAGTGTTGTAAGGCATTTGAACAGACTTAGATACTCTACATATCTCATAGTGTTGCAAGGCATTTGATCAGAATTAGATACTCCATATATGTCACAGTGTTGTAGGGTATTTGAACAGGCTTAGCTACTCCACATATCTCATATGAGCATTGTAAGGCATTTGAAAAGACTCCACATATCACATAGTATTGTAAGGTATTTGAACAGATGTGGATACTTCACATATCTCATAGTATTGTAAGGCATTTGAAAAGATTAAATATTCCACATATCTCATATGGGTGTTGTAAGCCACTTGAAACAACTTTTATACGTGAATCGATACAATGTTTTGGTGCATCACAATTTAAAGGAATAAAATGAATAATTCACATTTCCATTTGCGATGCTCTACTCAAATGCAGCAACGACAACTCATTTTTGAAAAGAAATGTCACAGGCGGTGAAAAAGGGACTGTTTACAACAATGTGAAGCGAAAAACATCCCGGGAAAAACCAGATGAGTCACTTTTAACTGCCCCGGAAGCTGCTCCGAAGAAGATGTTGTTTATCTAGTGCGATTGGAAGGTTTGTTGCGCATTGAACGCCCTTTTCGCAAAATCAGACAATGAAAAGGAATGGAAAGCGTCTTCCGTCAGAACAGCGCTAGACCCTACGTCTCTTTTTCACACCCGGCTGAAATTAGTACAAATTGGTTGGGATGTCCTGTTGTACTCGCTGTACTCACTTGAACTTGCACCTTCGGATTATCAGTTAATTCGATCCTTGCAAAATTCTCTCAATGAGAAAAATTCTAGTTCTCTGGAAGCTGGTTGGAGTCATAAAGCTGCTTCAAAGATGGCAAAAATTAAAGGAAGAAAATGGCGCATTTGCGGCTGAATAAATCTGTACAAATATCTAAATATTGTCTTTGAAATTCATTAAAAGCAGTACCAGTGATAGACACTTTTAAGAAACTAAGTACTATGGGATAAAAAAAAAAACCTTTTTTTTTTATATGATAGCAAAAGCTGAACAATTTCATCAAAAATTAAAAAAAAAACCTTGAAGCTACAGAAATATGGCTAAAGCGATGAATATTTAAAAGATCATGGATAGAGCAGGTGAGAAACGAAGATGTTCTAAGGAGAATAGGAAACTGCTCAGAGCAATCAGAAAGAGACAGCTGAAATGTTGGAGGTACTTAATAAGGACAAGAGAATGTATCATTCAGGTGACACATCGAAATGAAAGGACGGAAAACGGTAAGTAATATACTTACCAAGTTTGTGTATGTGGATGGAGAAGTACAAAGACAGAAAAGAGCCATAAAGGAGAAAGAAATGCTGAGAGCAACATGACACAGGAAGTTCTGAAGAGCCATGATTGCCTATGTTCTGAAGGGATAGATAGATAGATAGATAGAGACAGACAGACAGACAGACAGACAGACAGAGATAGAGAGAGGAGAAGAGAGAGACTATGCTAGTTTTAAAATAATTACCTTGGTTACGATAAACATTAGGTCGGTAGTTCCTGACCTTTATACTTCATACTCCACCTCAACAGCTAGAAATTTAATTATCTGAATACATCTGAAAGTTTCTTCTTTTTTTTTTCTTTTTTTACAATTAATCAGTGAAGCCTTAATACGACTCAGTTCTCTGCCAAAAAAATGCTTTTCACTTTTCTCGCCGAAATTCCACATTAACGACCTAAATATTCAAAATGCTCTACCTCAGTGTTGGTGTCGTGAGCTCCATATTCGGAATCAAAATGTGTACCCACCTCCGAAGGTATAATTTTTTTTTTATTTCCAAAACAATTTCGCGTCATTTTCGTCATTTACTAAACTTAGGTTAGTTTGGAACAAGGCTGCAAGTATGGAGTACCCAGTAAGGATTAAACTTATTACTCAATAGTAATGCTCAATTAGACTATTATTATTCGCTCAGTATCTAATAATTTAGTTACTTAGTGATGCTTATACCTACCACAAGGCCAAAAATATAGAGCATCTAGAAAGAACCGTTCTTACTATTCATTAGTAATTTATCTGAAAGACTACCTTGTTGAATACAAAGAGCTACTCAAATGAATGGTCCTTCAGATTTCTATTTTGTCAATGATTAGTTTATTTAACATACAGGGTGCGATAGGTAAATTGTTGCCATTTTATATTTTTAATTTCGTGCATGGGCTTGGTTTGTTTTTGATTTTGTCGACTGCAAAGTATAGTGGGGTCAGTTGGGCACCGTCTGGGAGAATAAGAGCACCATGACGCAATTCACTCCGCCAGAAATTTGGAAACGGCATGCTGTACTGCTTGGCATTCGCGCCTGAAGCTCCAGTGAGAGAGTGTTTGGGTGTCAATCTGAGGGCAGTGCAGAGGATTCAGAAAGACTTGGATTAGGTTAATGGTAATT